CTCTGCGGGCGCGGGGTGCCGCAGTCCACGTGGAGCTGAGCCGGGTTGGTTCGTTGGGTGCGGCAGCTGCTTTCAACGTCACCATCGGCTTTGCACCCCCCAGCCCCACGGATCGTCAGTGCTAAGTCTAGCTTCAGCCCTCTCTGCCCCCTGCTGTACCTGCCGCCCTCCGGGGCCCACAGCTGTGGCTGCGCTGTGGGAGCCGCATCTCTCGGCTGCCCAGCTCTTCGGCACCGCTTCCCTCCGTCTTCCCAGCGCGGCCTGGGACAGCGGTTTTCAGCATTTCTGCACTCCAGCCTCCCGGTGCAAAGTCCCCAGGCCCCCTTTAGGCATGCAGGTAAAGGCGGCCTGGGGTCTAATGCGGGATCTACACAATTGTGCCTCTTGCCAGGCTACACGTGCACGGCAGGTGTAATTGTGGGATAACCTTTTAGATCCCATAACGCCTTATCCTCCCATCCTGGGCTCCCCTCGCAGGGGCAAGAAGCAAACTCTTGCAGCTGGGAGCCACCTCTGCTGAGGGGGGCCCAGCTACAGAGGCACCCCCTGCACCCTGGAGAGACAGCTGCCCTGATCTCCCAGCCACAGGGGTGCATGACCCAGACTCCAAGCTGGTAAGAGGGGCCTGGAGGAGCAGGGAAGGGACCATGGGGGGGACGCCTGTCAGGCCCCATCTCATGCCTGCTCTCCCAGCCCCCTCCCCATGGCTGCCCTGCCTGCCTGCCCCAGCTCCTGGCCCTTTTAAAAAAAGCCCCCTCACTAGGTGCTGCCAGGTAGGGACTGATCTCTGCTGCCCCCCACTGTCCCATGCTGCATGGGGGGCTCTGTCATGAGCCCCTGACCCCTGCCCGCTCTCCCAAGGTTGCCCTGCCCACCCCAGCTTTGGCCCTTTCAGGAAAAAAAAACACGCGTACTGCCCCGCCCCCCCCACTGGCTGCTGCAGCAGCCTTGGGGCAGTGAGGATTGCCCCCTGCCAGGCAGCAGCTGGTGAGTTGGGGCCTTTTTTGTTTTTTTTAAGGGCCAGGAGCTGGGACAAGTGGGGCAGCCATAGAAGGGTTGGGGGGAACGGGCAGGGGTTGGGGGGCTTGTGACAGAGCCCCCATGGGGCAGTGGGGGGGGTAGCGGGGATCGCTCCCCCACCTCGCAGCAGACAGTAAGTGGGGGGGCTTTCTTTCTTTTTTTTTTTTCAAAGACCCAGGAGCTGGGGTGAGTGGGACAGCCATTGAGAGCAGGTGGGGGATGGGGCCTGTGTGATTTGGAGATTCAGCTGATTATCTCTGAATCTGATTCAGCCAAATCAATTCGGGACAGTGATTCAAATCACCAAATTGAATCGCTGTGGCCGAATCCAAAGCGAATACTAGCCATTTCGCACAGGCCTACTATCCAGTAGTAATCTTGTGCAACAGTTGGTTCATTGATCTTATCTCATAACCTGCCAAAGTCATGTTTAATAGACCAATCCCACAGAAAAAAAAGTTCAGCAAATTGTTCAAACTGGCTGTGAGATTTTAATGATATAAACATTTTTATGTGAGCACTTCAGCAATTAAAAAACAATATAGATCTCTTGGCTTTTGCAGGTGCTTTTTCAGAAAAAAAGAAATGGAAGAACACAACCTATCCATGGCTTTAAAATGAGCAGCTTTAATGTACACACTGTACAAACAACCACAAATGGACATTATATTTTACACAGAGCTTTCTGTATGAAGTATGGGCTTCAAAGAAAAAACTAACTGGGACTGGAGGTGGCATCTGTTGAGTTACTCTGCTGGATGAAGTAACTGGAGAGTTCATTTAGTGCTCTATAGCGATGAGAGATGGAATTCTTCACTGCTTTAGGCAATTCTGCATACCTGGGGATTAGGAAAAATAAGAAAACTCATAGATCCAACAAAGCAGAATTCTAAACCATGACTTGTTTTGTAATTGTATCCATTTAGTTTATAGTAGCCTGCTGGAAAGCAAATGCCTCTCCATTTGTTCTCATAATGCTAGGCTTTAAATATGCCTTCTATGACAGACTTCATTTTCAGATGCAGTACCCTTGAATGTTTTATATAGGCAGATGCTGTCACCTATGTTGACTATGGGCTCTCTTGCATCATAAAGCCTGCTGTAATGTAATTTCTGCTTGTAACTAAAGCCCATTCTCTTGGCAAGTTCTGCTTTCTAAGCTTTCTCTTACCATATTAAGAGGTCACAAGACTGAACATATCTTAATTATGGAGAAGATCTTACAGTAGAATGACAGTCTCTCTCAGACCACACACCTGAATCTCTGCTGCCCTGTGCAATCATTTTCACTAACAAAAAGCTACTTCACGTTACTGTAAATGACTGCCTAAATTCAGGACAGTACAAAAATCAGGCCTCCCATCCAGCCGATTTCTTCAATGCTACAGACAGATGCAGCTTGTCTAGGTTCAGATTCAATTAAAAATAAAATAAAACAAAAAACTGTGCAGTGAACTTCAACAATCTTACTAGTAGCAGCTACTAGAAACAGAGGAACCAGCAGCTGCTTCTCACTAGTCTGTGAATGGTCCTAAGCTGGACTGATGGGAAACAAAACAATATGCTGAACAACTTGCTTCTTTTGTCCTAATGTGTTAGAAGTCTGAGATGGACTTAGGTAGGGAGTACTGCTCCACACTTCAACCAGAGCTTCATACAGCCAGGATTTTATTTTAATCCCATCCCACCTTCTTTTTACCAAAATCTGCAGTCAGCAGGTTCCACTTTATACAGTAGCAAATACTTAACACAACTTTTGCTGTCTGGTCTTCATTCTCAAAGAAAACAGAAAAGTCACTTACGTCTTTTCATAACCATCAGGTTGGAAGCATGGATCCCAGCCAAAGTCTCTGGGGCCTCTAGGTTCAACTATGTGACCCTGCCAATTCAAGAAGGAAGAAATAAAAAGTTTTTCAGCATCTTTTGTAACATTTACCTTCTAGATTCTCACATACTGAAAACAAACTCAATAACATTTTACATTGATCCCTGCTTTCTGAAACAACCAAGAGCCCAATGCTCAACAGGATATTAGCATTTTCCCAAGATAAGACCAGTGCAGACCACCAGATTTCAGTGCACCACCCTTTCATAACCATATGCATCCCTCCTGCATGCCCCCCTAACCTTCAGTACTGCCTCTGATAAACACATCCATCCTAGAACATTTGAACAAGTCAGCCCAAATAAGCCTGCCTTCTTTTCCACAAAACATGCTGGGGGAGCAGGAGAGAGGAACTGCAACAAAGTTAAAGGCTGGGTGGAGTTAAGATGGTGGATAGATCCAGACAAAACAACTCAACTATGCACTCAGTTCATTTCTGTGCATCTTAGTACCAGGAAGTTATGGCCATGTATGGCAGAGCACTGTTTGTGCCTGCCACTTAAAGGCCTGGAGCTGGCAGCTGCTTGATGAGGGTAGCCATATGGGGGCTACCCATATAAACAGGGCAGTTCTGCTGGAGGCTAGGCAACAACATTACCTGACCAGAGGGCTGCTGGTGTCATCTGGAGGTAAGAGAGGAGCTGTAGGGGACGGTAAGGAGGCTCAAGGTCCTGGGCATGACCTAAAACTGCACCCTGCCAGGAGTGGGTGGCCTGGTGGGGCTCCCAGTGGCATGGGAGCCCCCAGGAAATGCCAGGCCAGTTACCACCCTGGTGAAAGGTAGGTCAGGGTGCCTTAACTCCTAGCCCCCACAACTGGGTGGATTACCCCTTGTTGGAAGGTGGACCCGATGGAGAAAGAGTGAGGCCATAGACTCAGGCCTGTCTGAACTTCCCGACTGGTCAATGCTGGGGCCAGGACCGGAAGGTCGAAGGGCCAGGGGCCCACTGTGAGGAATGCCCAAGAGCTGCGTGCCCAGGGTTCTGACTGGCCTGGAGGTATCCAGGCAGGGTTGAATTAGGAGGATTCTGGGGTCCAGTGTGGGGACTGGTGGTTTGGGTGAGGCTATTAGGGGATGGAGGTAGCCTCATAGGGGACCCATGGCAGCATTTGGGGGTGCACTGACCCTGGTGCCAGAGAGGGCTCAGCATTTGGGGTGCACTGACCCCTGCAACAGAGAGGGTGCAGCACTTTGCAGGGCTGTGGAAAGCCCAGGCGCCAGAGGCGCAGAGCAAGACACGACTTTGGGGTGACACCGGCGCCTGAAGGCGCGATCTTGAAAGGCCGGGGAGGCCTGGTGCATGATTTTGTTTAGTTTGTTTTGGGGTTTTTTTGGACTGGGAGGGGGCGAGTTCGGGGCTGCCCCTGGCCTTGAACTTGTGACACCCCCCGGCTGTGGGGCTGGTGGCCTTGCCTCAGGGCCGGGCTTCAGACTGCAGCTCCAGACACTGGAAAAGGCTAGAGCCTTGGAGTCAAACCCTGTTTGGTGGGTTTTGGATGGAGAGGCCTAGCTAGAGAAAGTCAGGGGTCAGGCCTGTGTAGGCGAAAGGCCCCAACATACAAAATACAATAGGCAGCCTCCCACTTAATTACATCATTAACTAATTCCAACAAGGCATGATGGGCGAGAAAGCAGGCAGTTAGCCCAGAAACAGGTGGATGGGCTACAGTGAGATTGGCCCTGAGAAGGCCCCCTGTTACAACATGTTAGAAAGAGTTGAGAGAAAAAGCAACCCCCAAGTATGAGACAGACATAGCTACATAAAAGGCCTTGGGAACTGGTGTTAGCTGACTGTTATGGTGTAACTAGACACTTAGCTGATAGCTGTAAGGGTCCTGGAGGACTGCACAGGCCACCAAGCTCAGGGAACACCATTGATCATTCAGAACCTTGGGCCAAACCTGGGTCCCCTTGGACACCAAGATAAATAGCCTGATATTCAGAGGAGCTGAACACTCGGCTTCCGTGGAAATCTATGGGAACTGCAGATGCACAGGATCCACTGAAAAAACATGGTCACATGTTTAGGTAACTAAATATGGATATAGACATCCCAATACAGGTGAGCCACCAGTATCTGCACAGCAATCCGAATACCTACACAAGTTTTGCCTTTGAACAGCTTCACTGGGTCCTCCAGGTTTCCAGAGCTGAACGCAAAGGTGCAAACAGCATAGGCAGACTTGTCCTCAAACCCCGCCAACAGCTTGTACAGTCCTAAGAAACAAAACGGATTCTGTCAACTAAATGCCATTGATAAGAAGTGATTTGTGAAGAACTGGGGGAAATGCAACACATCAAGCAAGTAATATCTGGCAACCTGTGGCTTGGTCTCCTGCATACTGTGCCCACACTAACTAGGGTGATCGTATATTACATGGAATTGGACAACAAATGGTGTGCGCTGTGGATAATTCAGGAGACCAGCGACTGGGATACCTGCATTCTACTTGTAGCACTTCCAGAGATCTTACAAGGGGGTTAATTATTATTATTTTCAAAGTGCTGGGAAATCCCTGGGTGTCTAATTCCCCAGTCAGACAATCAAAACCTGTATTCGCTGATGTGCAGAATGGAGGGCTTGATCCTTTTAGCTCACTGTAACCACTTATGCTCAACCTTCAAATGCACAGATCCTGTCAATTTCAAGAGCATTATTAGCTGTAAAGTGCTCCAAGTAACAAAGAAAGGAGCCTAAAACAGGTGAGAGTATGCTATTACCACAGAAATTAATAGGTGTGCTTGAATCAGTCCAAGTGATAGCTTTAATACAAAAAAAAAATTTGATATAGCCTAACGTAACAGCCATTTTGAAATAAAACCATTTGGTGTACAATGAGTAGGAAACGACACAACGTGGGAGAGGGGCAAGGAAAAATACATAACTGATGGCAGCATTGCTGAACTCACTCATCATTTATGACTGCAGTGAAGTCATGTAGTCCAGCAAATAATCACTGCACACAAAATGGTTTTATTCTGAAGTTACCATTACTTTCTGAAACAGCTTTGCATAATATAAATCCATTTGCATGGTTTAAATGGATGCCTGCCTCATGGTCTTATGTTCTTGCCTACAGATGTCTTAAGTGCCTTCTACTGAAGATTTATGCATCTGATATTAATGACACTGCATCTCCATCACTTGTAGTCAGTCTATTTCCCATTGCACATGCTTGTGACTATTATCTAGCAGAAAGTAATGTCCTGGGATAGACAGGAAGCCTGAGATGAATACCCATGTAATGATATATTTAGCTGCATGGCCCAGCAAGTCATCAGCACAGAGACGGTTGCAGAAGTTATTAGGCAGATGAGCTCATTTGTAACAAGGTATGGAGGGAGATGAGAGCTAAGGACAGAGGGGGAAACATGCTTGTGACTATTATCTAGCAGAAAGTAATGTCCTGGGATAGACAGGAAGCCTGAGATGAATACCCATGTAATGATATATTTAGCTGCATGGCCCAGCAAGTCATCAGCACAGAGACGGTTGCAGAAGTTATTAGGCAGATGAGCTCATTTGTAACAAGGTATGGAGGGAGATGAGAGCTAAGGACAGAGGGGGAAAGAGGAAGGAGAACCAGGCAAGGAAAATGTAA